TAGGGGAATCTGATTGAGGTGCTTAAGATTGTAAATGGAATTGATAGTGTTGATGCATCATCTTTTTTCATGTTTATCAGTGATAATAGTAGGACTAGGGGACACACAAATTTTGGCAAGGTAGGAGTTATTTTCAGCTAAGACAGTTTCATTTTTCTAACAGGGTGGTTGGCCTTTGGAATGAGTTGCCTTCAGATGTTGTAGAGGTAGTAAATTTAAGTGGATTTAATAAAAAGTTTGATAAGTATATGACCGATAAGGGCTGGATTTAAGATTTGTTTTTTAATTATCTTAATTTAGTTTAGAGGATGGAACAGCCAAGGATTAATAGGTCTCATGTTGTCCTAAAACATTATGTTATGTTATTTATATAAAAGTAAAACCATTTGGTCCAAATACATATTTTATTTCATTTAGGTGTCAGGAAAGTATGTTGTGTGTGGTTCCTGATATTTCTGCATTTCGTGAAGGTTGGCAGTGGGTTCATCATCCAACTCAGGTGTGTAAAGTTGTTAGTAAATGTGAGACAAGCATAGTAAATCCTCCAGTATCTAAAAGAAGAAGAGATGAGCTTTCAGTATTATCATTGTAGCAGGAGCACTCTAAAATCAAACATCAAAATATTTAATATACTTTTAATACATAGTTTAGTATTTTTGCTTTTTATAAAATCTGACAGCTTACTTTTTTTTTTTTAGATCAACAATGTTTTTTATGAGAAAATAAAGGATACATGAAAAATATTTCAAGAAAACATTATTTTGATTGTATCTCCTGTCTTAATGAGACTTGTGGTATTCAAACAAGTAACTTAGTAAACTGTATCTTCAAATGTAAGGTTTAAAGTAACTTGTTTTTCACAGATATTAATAACAGAGAACATTGCCTAGATGTACTCATTAGAAGATCTTTAGATTTAACTTATTAATTTTACAACACAGGTACCTGTCTCACTAGTAAGGAATGATGGGATTATCTATGCAACAGGCCTGACCTTTACATATACACCTGAGCCTGGACCCAGACCTCACTGTCGTACTGTTGAAGAAATTCTTCGACCTGCTGGTAGTCACACACATCCTCCAGATGGGGAAGAACCTGGACCTCTAATTTCTACATACACTCATGTTTCATCGGGGCTCTGATGTCTCAATATCAGACTTTACAAGTACACGAAAGCTAAAGAAAAAAAGTTTTATGTTTTTCTTCTATAAATGGCTTCACTAATGTGGGCTAATATATTAAAAATTATGAAAACATTGGGAGAAAGCCTGGCTTTTATATATTCTTTGAAGAAAGACTTGATTTAATAGCATATGTTTTAGCAATTGATTTATTCAAACAGTAACAAGTGCTTGTATGGAAAGACTTTGAAAGCCCAACATAATCAGTCGAAGAACTTGTATTTCAGCTGAGACTGCAACTGTTTAGTACCTTTCAGTCAGTATGAAACAGAAAAATGGTTTGCGATGTGAATGTTTTAACTATGTAATAAGTTCAGTGTAAAAACTGTGGCTGTGCTTATAACACCTGAAATGTGGTGCAAAATTCTGAGAGAGAGAAAAGAAATCTCTATCAGTTTTGTAGAAAGTGTCTGTGGTATACTATTCTATGTATATAACAGTGACATTTATATGACTTAGCTGAAAGCATCTGTTTAAAACTAGTTACCAAGGGGCACAAGTAGGTAGAGCATGTGCTTGAAAGGAATGTGTAACTATGGAATTAGTGTGTATATACTTGAGGTAGATATATATATATTGAATTTCAGTAAAAATTAACTCTGCAATTTTTTTGTTTTTTTCAGTTAAAGCCTTCTAATGCTTAAAAAGTTTGCAAAAGCTTCAGAAATTTCTGTATATTATGTTTTACAAAACACTTTTTTTTACTATGCTTATTATACAAGATTTATTTCTTCATCCAAGAAAAGAAAAAGGCTTATCATTATTCAATTCATTCTTTTTAAAATTATTTTTTGCTCTATTTTTATTAAAAGGGTGGGAAAAATGATTGTATTTTGTAATCGTAATTTATGTTCTTTGTGTCACATCACTACTATGTGTTAATGCAAATATTTAAAAAAGAATTTTCAACAACATTTGTGGTTATACATGTTATTTGTACTTACCAGTATTGTACTGTGCTCTAAAGAACAAGCAACTATGAAAGTTATAGTCAATGATGTGGGTTTTTGAATGACTAATAAAAGTTTGGAACATATTGAGAATAAAGGTTTATCTTGTCTGCTGTGTAATAGATTTATATACATTAAATGAGAATAAAAGGTTTTCATTGTCTACTGACTTTCATTTTTATCATGCTTATTTTAGCCTTTGACCATCGTAAAGTTTTTTCTGGATATAGTAATTTAAACTTGATTATAGAAATGAGTATTTTTAAAATTTTAAACCATTTGTGGCTTGCTTAATAATTTATTTAGATATAATAGTTTCTAAACTAAAACCCTGATATTGCAGCACACAGAAAAAAGGCAAAAAAAATATCCGTAATAAGTTTGAATGTAGGAGCACAATAGATAATACAGAACTATCTACAATAATCTTATCATGTCAGAGAAGAAAATACAAGAGAAAAATATAAAACAATCTTTCAATATCACAATAACCTATGTCAGAAATTGGTTTCCAAAAGGGGAGTGGGTTCGTTTTCCTGACTGAGCAATGGAATTTATTCTATCTGATATAAAAAATGTCACTACTGCTATAATATCTAGCAATTGTACATGTACATTATTGAGGGAGTATATATCTCCTGTGTAAGTAACGCTTATATAACTGACTGATAATACACACAGCTGACTTAGCATAGAAATAAGCCAAATCTGGACGTCCTTTGAAAACTAAAATAATCAATCTAATGAAGTCCAACTGGTATGTGGATAGAATCCTTACCTCTCGGATACAATAAGACCAAAGCTCAAAACTCAGTTTTGCCATCACTAGACGGCAGTATATCAATAGACAAAATGTGAGAAACGTAGAGCAAAAGTAATTCTTAATTACTACTAAAATAATTGAAAATAAGTACTGACTTACTAGTAATTAGACACAAATGACTGTATCAGATAATAACCATGATAGTAATCGGTATCTTTATTAAAGATGTCAATAACACAAAGTGTGTAATTATATTGACATTTGACTCTACTGGATCTATGAATGGTGAATCAACTTTCTTTTTTCAAGTCGTTTATATATGAAGAACTACTCACGTTGAAACCAAATAGAACTTTTGAAAGTACCATGGCTTCATACTGATATGGCAAACTTCGTATCCTTTCTTTGCAACAGTATCATCACGTGACAGTCATTCTCTCACATCATTCATTGGCTATAACATTCAGATATCAAAGAACGTTGCAGTTATTGACCATTTTCTACACTAATGTGTAAAGTTGCTGCAACATCCTTGTGGGTAGACTATCTGCGATAGAGAAAATATATATATAATAGACCTAGAATGAAACAATTTCAAAGGTTTTCTGGACCATATATTTATGTCAAAACTGCATAGAAATAAACTAAACGAAAAAATTTTTAAATCATAATTTCATAAAGTTTGTGGGAAAATATGATATACCCAAATATCACAGCCGTAATTTCTAAATGTCATTTACTCAGCCAGTGAGGGACAATTTTACCGTTAACCAGCTTGCACATTGTGTAAAGCTGCAACAATATGTATTCCGCGGCGGTGCAGGTATTAACTACAAGAAGACAACGAAGAAACAGGTAATTAGAATGACATTAACTCAACGGTTTTCAGGATCTCGTGTTTATGCGAAAACTACATAGAACCTGACTAAGTGAAAATAAATTCGTATTCGTACATTGATATAAAAGGGTAGACATCGCATGGTATGCCATATTACTACGACAATTAGTCGGCGTTATTTGTCTATCAAACTACCATAAAATAGCATTTTATATTTGATTTCAACACCACAGCTTGTATCTTTCGTTGCACATGTAATAAATTGCTACACTAAACTTTCCACCTACTAGATCCATGAATCTCTAGTTTTACGGAGATCAAGTGCCCGTAGTGTGTTAGGTTCAACATTGAAATTATTACAGATGTTTCATAGTACAATTTAAATATAAATTTGGAATTATATGTATGTATATCGTAGCAAAAATATTTTCCAGGTAATGCCGCTTGTGAAGAAGTATAATTAATTTTTAAATCCCTTTATTATTTTTGTAATACTCTCTTACCTACACTGTTATAATTTATTCACATATGGGATTAATAGATAAACTTTTGTACTCCTACCCCTGACATCACTTATGGAGAGTATTGTTACGTCTCCGTTTGTTAATTAACTTCCCGTAACTTCGTTCCGACGAAACTTTAGCAACACAAGTCCTTACTTAATAAAACTGGTTTATTCTTTCCGAATATAACTTTACGATACACTTGTTTTAAACAATCGCGCTAAAACAAACGCTATATCAACGAACGTTAACTTCAACAATACGTCTCTCTCTGACTGCAGTTCAATTACTCACTACCTACACACCCATTACCTTACCGTCACGTTGTCACCCTCTTTTATATACCAGACTACCCTATATCTAGTAAATACTAGAGCATTCGCCAACGTACAGGATAGTTCTAGAAAATAGGTGACGCCACACCAGTCACGTGACCTCGAAGACGCAACACTGCCCCGTCCTTAGTATTGTTCGTCCCGAACAATTGCCACTTACAATAGACCAATAACAATAACTTAATTAAAATGTACAGAATTACAAACACAAAATTACAATTCAACAAATATCTTAATTTTACGGGACG